TTGCATCGACCAAGTCGATCCAGTGCGGAAAGCTGCCGGCATCAGAAGCATCGGTGCATATCTCAACCAATGTGATACATTTCTATTGCTATGGAATGATGATTACTTTCAACGGCTATGGTGTGTATTTGAGCTTGCGTGTTTTCTGAAGGGCTCTGAGAAAATGAAGAAATGTCGGCCGTTGAAGCTGTTCATGATGCCCATACAAAAGACTATATATCGTTGCCTATTTTCAACTACTGTGTATTGGTCGCTGTTCTCACTGATCCCGCCCTATGCTCGACTGCCTTTCGATGTCATCATGTGTGTAATGCAAGTGAGGTACGTTTTTCTGGCTGATATTTCTTCCAGAATCAAAATGAGATATTCTCTTTCTGACATACACTTCGATACAGTGCAGTGTTCCGAGCCCACAGATTGTGCTACGATCCTTGATCTCATCGAGGAGTGGTATGGAAGTCTCGATGTGTTCAAGGCGTATGTGTCGGACAGAATGTGCGCAGCAGCTAGAGATGCGGTGTCCACCGATCGCCTTATGCTCCACATATGTTGCGTATCTCAACCTTCTCTCATCTATGGTATTGCTCACAATGAGTTTCTCACCCCAGCTCTGTACGTTTATCGGATACTGTTTTCTCTTATAGTTGTTATTAAGCTGGCTAGGCGACTCTGTCGAGTGTATCAACCCGAATTTTGTACTCACTTTACCATCAACCTACCGATAGTGTATCGTCTAGTGTCGTATCTAAGTGCAGTCATTGCGTGTATTACGGTTGATCTCATAGGCAGTCATTTGCTATCCACTAGAGCTTCTAATTACGACCAAGTCACAACATGCTTAGTGGGAATATTAGTACTGCTGTTTACACCAGCTCTTACTTTCTCGTCTACTATAGTATCAGCACTTCTCCGTGATGATAGTGAAGACTGTCAACAATGCTGGAGGTGGCTCTTGAATGAGTGCGCAGTGTAGCTGTCGTGATAGTATCTAAGTGTTGTAGGATATTCATTACCGTTGGCGGATACTATTATCTCTACCACTCCTCGACGAACTATTAGTTTCTTAGGCTGTATTTGTATTTATTGAGTGTAGGTGAGATGCAGAACATGTTAGATTCTGTGTTGCGGGGTTCTGCCACTAGGGATGGCAGGTAGATGGCACCATTCTCAGGTCTACGAGATGCCAATGACTACATTCTGAAGGAATGATTCTTCAGCAGTTCATCCAGGACATGGCGAACCAATTCCACAGTAACTGAGAGACACCAAGCTGGGCTTGGCCAACGGCGGCCCTAGGGCTTACCAAACCTACCAATTCACGAAGAGTGAATTACTCTGATTGTTGAGTAATTCTCCTTACTCTATCTGACTAATTGCTTTAGAATCGGTTAAAATACTCAAATCACAAAACCATAGCTCAAGCACACGAGGAATCACCCAGAATCAGTGACTCAGTATCATTAATCGGAATCGACGGTTCATTTGCATCACGGATTAGCATCAAGAATCAGAATCAACGGGGAGTCGCATCAGTAATCAATACTCGTGCTCAATGCTCAAGACTCCGTAATAATGCATCTTACTCAATAACTCCGCATCTTAGGTCGATTTTTCTCACGCATCGGGACCATAGGTTGATTATACTCAAAGATCTGAGCCTGGCATCAGGATCCGCATATGGCCCCTGGAATTACGGCCAGAGTTTTAATTACGGACATAAATTGACCATCCTGTTCGACAGGGCCTATCGCATGCTCGTGCAAACTGATTGTGCTCTCGAGGTGTATTTCTGTGTAGTGGCAGAGTCGCCCGACCGGAAGAAATCCATCTTATCCAAAGCGGAATAAGCTCGTGCCACAATGCATAAGCAGGGGATAATAATCATCTTATGTCGTAGTTCTCCTCATTCGTATCGGCCAACCACCGACGGACCGTGTCCCAAGGACATCGTCCCCAGCTGAAACTCTCATGGAGGAAACAACATACTGGTTCTCACTAAAAGAGTTTCTTGATGAGTCGACCAATGCTACGCCTTGGCCATAGTCTCGAATTCACCAACCGACAGGGTGAAATTGCCAGACTCTGGCGGCCAGAGCCACTGAACGGCTCAAGGATGGCCTCCAACGTGAAGGGCGTGTTCACTCGATCGGACCGGCGGCTCTGGGTCTGGATCGAGTCGATCCTGGGCCTGAGGCTCAGACTCTGAGCATCAATATCTTACGTATTCCTAGTAACTGGACAGAACACCGGCAAGTCTCGCCGGTTTCATGTTTCCTAAGGTTGAGAATTCCCGGTGGTAACTCGATTTTTGTCTCGATAAGAGTAACCTTTGCCTTCCATCATAGTGGACCGTAATCAAATTGCCAGGTCGGAATCGCATGGATGCCGTTCTTGAATGATGGTTTCGTAGTAGTTCGAGTGTTCGCGCGGATGATGGTAGAGTTGCGAACCACTACTTATGGTGCGGTATCGGGTTCATCTCCTGGCGTTATCTTTTACTTTCGCGAATCGCATGATTGTGATGCGTCTCGAACGATGAGTGATGTCGTCTATCGTCTGATATATTACTCCATGCTTCGATTCACTCTGTTGATGTGTTGGTGTAGTTTTCATAAACCGCTGCAACCGAACACAAGTCATTGCCAACGATTCATTGGTATCATTCAGAAGCGAATAATCTGACCTCTGAAGTACAATGTCTCTTGATAAGCTAAGAATCATCTCGATGGTGGATCATCATGATCCGATCATCGCCTGCGGACCCCACAGTGTCAAATAGGGGAATATAAAAGAACGTCGCGCGTTCGAAAAAGATTAATGAGCTGGTTCGGACGATCGAGAGAAATTTCCAAAAAGAGTCCTCGAACACGCCAGATGATCTCGAGCCGTCACTCTGTCTTGTAGTATGCATAGGCGTAGAATGTTCTTAGAGGATTCTCTGAGAAATGATGGTAATATCCACATTACACGTTCATCATTAGCTAAACTCGACGTTGAAACCTCCGATGTCCAAGGCTCCATTGAATACATAACTTATGCCAACGAGTCCCAAGCCGAGCACGATACGGAGCTGCTTACCCCATATCTTGATGAATCCTGACTTTTTGTAAAGTGCTATTGCAGCAGTATTCGAAGCTCCCACGAATAAGTACACACACGCATTCGGATAGGGCTTGAGAACCTGAAAAGTAATGAAGTTCTATAGGAATATACCCTGCCTGATGAATGAAGACTGTCGTCATAGACTCACGTTTGTAGATACCTCCGATAAAAGTCTACTTGCAATTCCTTGTCTTCGCCAACCCTCGGCTACCGTGACCTAGAAACGAGATGGCGAATTGTCATTGACGGCCCTGCTCGTCGAATGACAGCATTCAACTCACAACATTTATAACCCCAATGACGCCGACTGGTATCTTCTTGTCTGGCCTGTCATCAAAGTTATGCTCGAGGTTGGATTGATATTTCCCTGAGGGGGGAGTACTCACCTATGGGCGTCAATTTCAGTCTTGAGGTACAATGGTGTGTTTTCAAAGGGGATATTTATCTCGACGACGCCGACCGCAGTCTGAAAAGACAAGAGTTGCTATTGGTACCTACAGCCGTCAGACTGTCTTCAGCTATACTGAGTCTTCAGCACAGGTAAGGAATGAGCTGAGAGCTACCCACACAGTCAAGTGAACCGCAGTAACTCGAGAAGTTTATACACGCATGAGGACCTCATGATGAGGTCGATTGAGGCAGAAACGAGGAGAGCATTCTGAAGTTCAGATACTGAACGAGATCAGATACCAACTTCAGAAGTGAGGAAGTTGAACTTCCTAATACGATGAGTCGTTGTCTGCACTACGCGCAACCTCACCTTGGAGCCGCTACGCACCGCGACCCAGCATATAAAGTTCTTGCAGTCCACAGGGTTGGTGGCTACGAGCGATAAGTCGTCCCCCACCTCGTATTTACGGAATATCACTGCATCGAGCGCTCGCAGGGCATGCTGTTCCGACACCACATTATGATCGAGAAGGCCGGCCTGCGCTGTGACGGACAGCAGTTCGAAGAATAGAAAGGTGGACAGCTTCATTTACGAGGCGCAGATTGTAAGAGATGGAGATTGCACCTGTACACGTAAGGTACAAGACATGGGTTTAATGGTCGAATGGCGCCTCATTTCCCTTCACGAACCCCACAAATTGATATGCTAGCATCACACATACACAACGGCTGATTGTTCTATTTCACGCACATCATGCGTGAAACACGTGTGATTATATGCATGTTAGCAGTGCCAACATGCAATAACTGCCAACTTGGCAGACGAAACCAATGGGCATTAGACCATCACATACCGCTCTGCAATGCAGGCGCCACCCCTCATATGTCGCGCGTGAAACGCGTTCCCTCAAGGTCGCCAAAGACCTCAGCGCGTGGACTGATTCTCCGGGCACCGCGTGATTCTCACGCTGTGACCCAGCAGGGTAGCATCTGTAGTGCGGATTTTGCACTGTTAACAACAGCTGAGATCCCTGATGATCAGAGAGTGAGAGGAAATTTTTTAGCTAGAGACCAGTAGTGTTGAGTGCCTAAGTTGACTACCAACTAAAGCTTATCCAAGGCGCAGAAAAGCCTTTGTGTATGCGTGCAACTGTGTAAGGGCATAGCTAATGGCTTAAGGGGACAAATAACTTCAAGAGTGCAAGGATAACCATTCTCAGTTACTTACACTGTAGCGTCTTGGGGCTCAAGTATGGTTCTTCCCAGTGACAACTCAGGATCATTAGGAAATGAGGGTGATAATATCTGATACCGATGTCATATGAATCAATAAGTTCGACCGAAAAGAATAATGGGCAATCCGTGAGGCTTCCAAGCACAAGCAATGAGCAATGGGGCACGCACACACATAGCCTGATCGATTGTATTCGGCGACGATGACCCAAGCAGTCGCACCTCTTGGGAGGGGCAGCCTCATGGAGCAGCCTCAGCACAGAGACCTTCTTTACAGCGAACGCTGTAGACGTCCCCAAGGTCTCGAGTGCTGGAAAGCAGGAAAAAGA